CTATCCATTGGAACGTGAAAACAGAGAAGCTGACTTCGCTCATGACATGAAGACGTGAACCTAGCTGTTGCAAATCTATTACAAATGAGGAATTCTTATAAATACTTAACTTTTAATTTAAATAAGAGTTAAGTTGTAGTTAATAATTACAAGAAAAGAAAATTATGAATTATAAAACAAAATTCTTCATTTAATTCTGTGCTAGTCCCTTGCTCATTTTATTCATAAATATTTCGTAATTGAAAAAATCCTTCATAAAAGTTCTCTCTCTTTTAATTGAATTTAAATTTACCATAAAAAATTAAAATAATGTTGTACGAAAGCATGCGACAAAGAATAACAGCAATGCTTGGTATTGCACAACTCTTAGAAACTCCTATGGATATAGGTATGTGCTACCTCTTATTGGCATATACAAAGTCCTAAGTATATTTTCTTCATACCCCTAAATACTGAATATCATTTTATTGTTATTTGAGTTCTGCTATTTCATTCTTAAATACGAGTATGTAAATTAATAGTTAGTATTATAAGATGTGGTATCCTTAAACAATCCCAGTGACAGTCTATTAAGAGGTAAACTAAAGGTCACGCAAGATCTTACAAATGTGAGTGTATTAAGGAACACTAGCTCAAGTGCTAGGTAAAATTCTGACAAAATTTACTTTTCATGTGTCAGAATTTTCTTTTTTCTAGCATTTAAAGCACAGCCTTAATAGAAGAAAAAATGTAATCTGTAGCCTATTTTCTCTTTTCTCGTATCTATTTCTTTTTGCTACGAAGGGTGTGTTCGAGCTACGTAATAATTGCAGCAGTACATACAGCTACTGTGTTGCATATTTGCCGATACTCTGCTGATGTGCAGACATAAATTTAGTGTTGCTGATTATTTACATGAATTGCGTTCAAAAAGTGCCAATAGAACGTGATGCTGTTGCAAGTGTTGCCAAAAATTCACGCAGAACGTTATACTTTGACAAACTTGCAACACTGCTGTCGTAATTGCCATCTCGAAGGCACCTGAAATCGTATATTTTTAACGCCATAAACCGGTCGCACTTATACAACGCGAGCTACAGAATAATAAAGGCATCTATTGGAAGAATAAGGAGTTTTCTATTACTAGACTTTTTCGGATGGGTGACAAGAAACTGTTTTCATGGAATAAACTGACGAAAAGATTTAATCTGATTCGGCATATATATAAATATAAGGTTGGCCGTTATTTCCCTTCCGCTTTTTTGCTCTTCATTCAATGCTTTATAAAAAGTGTTACAGTGATCGGATTTAGTTAAAATATGCGCCGTTTTGTTCGATGATGTGTTTCCATCTAGACGGCAACTTCATAATACCTTCCTCGTAGAAGCCCCCCTCCTTATTTGCGAAGAATTCGGACAGCCACTTTTCACAAGCTTCTTTTGAGTTCAACTTCACACCACCAAGGGCATTCGCCATGGACAGGAACAGGTGGTAATCACTTGGCGCTACGTCCGGGCTATATGGTGGATGCGATAAAACCTACCATCCGAGCTCCCGTAGCTTCTGACGAGTCATCAACGAAGTGTGTGGTCTGGCGTTGTCCTGGTGGAACACTACACCCTTCCTGTTGGCCAATTCTGGACGCTTCTGGTCGATCGCCTGCTTCAAGCGGTCCAGTTGTTCGCAGTAGATGGTAGAATTAAGCGTCTGGCCATATGGGAGCAGCTCATAGTGGATGATTCCCTTCCAATCCCACCAAACACACAGCAAAACCTTCCTGGCCGTCAATCCCGGCTTGGCCACTGTTTGGGACGATTCACCGGCCTTCGACCACGACCGTTTTCGCTTGATATTGTCGTATGTGATCCATTTTTCGTCGCCAGTCACCATCCGCTTCAAGAATGGGACGAGTTCGTTCCGTTTCAGCAGCATATCGCACGCGTTGATTCGGTCCAGAAGGTTTTTTTGCGTCAAATTATGCGGCACCCAAACATCAAATTTTTTTTTGTATCCAGCCTTCTGCAGATGGTTCAAAATGGTTTGGTGACTAACTCCCATCTCCTGGGCGATGTCACGAGATGCCATATGCCGGTCTAACTCGATGTATTCCATGATTTGATCGGTATTTGTCGTCACAGGTCTTCCGCCGGCTGACTTATCCAAGGTGTCGTTTTCCCCGGCTCTGAATCGTCGAAACCATTCCTCCGCGGTTCGAAGTGATAGAGTACCATTCCCCAAAACACCATTAATCTCACGGAACTTTTCTCTAGCGGATTTGCCTTTAACGAAGGAAAACTTTAAAATAGTGCAAATTTCGGCGTTAGTGAACTCCATGTTTACACGTCTATAACTGTTGAACGCAATATCCAAACTAATCATGCATAGCGTTGTTTTGTAGGTTATGTCAAGACCTTTCAAATTATGTATAGTGTTGCCAGATACGAGCTCTGTAGCGCTTTGTACATAACCGCGAAATTCAAAAGACAAAAAAGCGGAAGGGAAATAACGGCCAACCTAATAATTTAAAGATATTCAACGTATTCGCCCTCCGAAACTCACAAAATACTGTACGGATTTCTCGATAAATCGTCTAACTTGTAACTCAATCTTGAGTTCGATCACTGGATTGTTAAATAAAAGTTAAAGAGCTTACCACTTCTTGCTTATGTCTCAATTGCTCTTAACTCTAGAACATTCTGGCAACTACGATTTCGCTGTCACCTTGCTTCTGGCAATTTATTGTCGGTTCGATTGTGTTCTATTATCCATCTTCGTCACACTGCCCTCCACCTAAGTCTGATCGTCCCGATTAGACATATTTGCGGTACCAAACACAAAGCTTTTATGTCCCCCATATCGTCTTCTAAGCTGGTGTTAACTTCCGTCGCCGCCTTTCTCTTTTTGGAGTTAATTCCATCCCTTTTTCGGATACCCAGTTTCTGATACATCCCTTGACTTAAAGCTGACTCGAGATTCCATTCTTGATCAGAATGTAACTCCATTGGAACTCGTTACCCACTTGTTGATGAATGCGTCCTTCACTGGTTCAGTCTCTTGATTAGGAATTGTGTATAATTTTGGCCATTCCTTGAAATGGTCCTTGACTACCAAAACATGATTATTTCTTAATTTATTCGTGTGGAATGGACCATCTTCATCCCCGCCTATTTGCTCAACTGGTGCACCCGAATTGTACTGTTTCATCTGGGTATGACTCCTGGACCTTGATCCTTTAGCTACAATGCACTCAGCATATTTCGCAATCGTCTCCATAGCTGATTGACGACAACCAGTTCAATAAAACCTTTTCTTCAATTTCTCCAAGGTTTCCGTAGTTCTCAAGTGCCCTTCTTTTGGACCTTTGTACTGCATGTTACTTACTTCAGGAATTCTAACCTTTTGAACAACTATAAGTACTCGGGAGGTTTGCCCATTTTCGCTATTCCATAAGCGCTGCAAGCAGCCACACACCAACTCTGCCCAATATGCTTTTACGACTGAGCTTTCTAGATTTATTTCTCCACTCGTTGTACATTGGTTCAACTCCACTTCATGCATTACACTTTCCAATTCTGGTCCTTCTTGAAAAGAGTCATCCGTTTCAGGTTTTATTTTATCCTGTTCTTGCACCAATGAGGACAAATGTGCTGATATACACCCTGCTCTTCTGACTGCGAGGACACTTATGCTGGTATATACGCTTCCTGCTCTTCTAACTGTGAGATCCCTTGTACTGGTACACACGCTTCCTCCTCTTCCAACTCCGAGGGCACTTGTGCTGGTATACTTCCCTCCTGCTCTTCCAACTGTAAGGACACTTGCGCTGGTATACAAGCTCCTTGCTCTTCCGACTCCGAGGACACTTGTATTGGTATACACGCTTCTTGCTCTTCTGAATGTGAGGACCCTTTAACTGGTTCACACGATTCCTCCTCTTCCACCTGTGAGGACACCTGCGTTGACATACGCATGTCCAGCTCTTTCGACTTTGAGGACCCTTGTTCACACACTTCCTCCTCTTCCAACTGTGAGGACAACTGCGTTGGCATACGCACGTCCAGCTCTTTCGCTGCTGACAACTGTGCTGACAAGCGCTCGAAGAACGATTTCAGCGCAGCACAAATAACCTCTACTGAACATTGAGTCACTTCCTTCTCTTGTATCTTTATTGTCTCTGCCTCTAATTCCAATTGAAAGACATATTATTAATATTTTTTGCGTCCATGGCTCTTCGTAACCGCGACTGTAATTTGGACTTTGCTTCCTTTGTTGCCAAGCCACGTTTTTGCAGCTCCTTTTTCAGTTGTGGAATCTTCAGATCGTTAAGCTTGGCCATTTTCAATCTCTCTTTGGGAGTTTATTTGACAATCCCACTTCTGACACCAATTGTAGCGGATTTCTCGATAAATCGTGTACCTTGTAACTCAATATTGAGTTCGGTCACTGGATTGTTAAATAAACTGGATCTTTAATAAAACTTCGCCTCTAGAACATTCTGGCAACAACAAACATAGCAAGACAGTATCCAATGAAAACTCTGTAACCTTACATTTAGAGAAATTTTTTATCCTTTTATTGAACAAGCTATTCGTGCTTTTTGTTCCTCTTTATTTATTTTACTACGAAAAGTAATATATTAGACCATAAAAGCCTTAACTTTATTGTAATTAAATAACTTAAAACATTCAATTTGTTATTATTGTATTATTGTTGGATTTTGGAGTCCGATATTATGTATAAATATATGTACTTGTTACCTATGTATGTATTTTTGATTTAAATGAAATATAAAGATAAAAATACATTTGATAAATACATTAACTTTGATAGATAAATACAATTTTTTCAAAGTATTTGTATACATATACCATCTATGTTTAGTTTTTCTTCTTCTCCACATAACAAATACCAATAGCTACAAGTTTCTTTGATGGATGATAATTTATGGGAAAGTACGGGAATTCAACCATTATCAGATTCGTCGAATTGACATGTCCAATTGGGTTTTTTATTTGCTCCTACTCTACTGAATATTTTACATAACTAACAGCAATTACCCAGTGCCCAGTACTAGATATTATCAGATGTCCCTCAAGTTTGGCGTAGTCATATAGATGAATGGAAGCTCACCAAAAATTGTAGCCGAAAAAATGCATAAGATTTGTTAGAGCTTAAAATAATGCTCGTGCCACGCTCTTGATCCAATATTAAAAAAAAAAAGTTAATGAATTGGTAACAGTCACAACGCAACATATTAACTGTTATAAATACATATGTAGAAATAAATGTAATATAATATAAACAATACAATTTGACAAGTATACAGTAAACCACATTATACAATAAACCAGCCGTTAGCAGTATGCTTCTTTGACAATATATACATGAACGGGTTTGTACTATAAAGAATTAAACACATAGACAAGGATGACATGATGCGAGACTCTCTCATTTTCGCTGATTTTTCTGTTCCATTTTAGTTCGACAGTGGCATGATTGGCAAATGTTATAAAAAAAAAAATGTGGGTTTTGACAGCTCTCTCTCGATTCAAAGAGTCTCGCATCATTTCATCCTTGACATAGACGACAAGCGACAGGCAGCATCTGTCAAAGATTAAAATACACATGTTCTTATGGATACAGTTTGCCAACAACAATGGGTAGCTGTAGCGTTGCCATTTATATGAGAAATGTAAACTTATTCTAAGCTCTAACAAATTAATTTTATTTTACCAATAGAATCATAAAACAGCAACAATATACCATTTCTAATAACAATTGATAATTTAAAACAAACTTATCGACCTATTTTTTGTTCAAAACACTTAAATTTCATGAAGTGAACAATGCGTACAAAAACCGTTCGATATGCCGTTGCCGTCTTCAAAATGTTAAAGAAGCTGGCTTCAAGACGACTTTTACCGACCATAAATTTCGTTGTCGTGTCGTGTCATCGTCTTTGTGTTCACAGCATAAGTAGTTTTCTCTCATTAACCCATAGAGCGCTCCTTGTTCACAAAATCACAAACATTTTATTTATTTGCTTGTAATGTTAATCATAGAATTATAGATTTAAAATAAAACTCAACAATTTAGATAACACGAAAAATTTGGCATTTTTACGTATTTATTTATTTTTTTTTAAAATAATTTCACACTAAAACAACAGAAAAATGTTTACTTTGGATTAACACAAATTTCAACTATGAAGGAAATATCAAGCAATACAAACAAATAATTGTCAAATACGCATTTTTGCATTATAGTTTTTACTGTATACTGTGGAAAGGGTTAATGCGAGAAAACTTCTTATGTATACAAAGCCGTACATGAATACATTGCCACCCTACAAGAACCGTGATCTGACCGGTAATATGACAGTCACAGCTGAAAAAATATTGTCAGCGCGCAGAACAAAGTTTCGATCATTTTCTTACGAGCCTTGTGCAAAAACTGATGTAAACAAACGTATGTGTGTGAGTTTGCATCGCTCTTTAACACATGGGTATATGGAATTGCCTCACTATATATCTATACTGCTCACTCTCATGTATATTTCTGAGTCATTTCTGACCATAAATCCATCATAGCTGAAAATTATCAGTTATATCTTTAATAATCTTCAAATCTTCAAGTCTTTAATAAGTTCAAAACTTTTAATTCAAATTTGTTATAATAATATACATATAAATATATAAAAAGGAGTGCAACAAAAATATAATTAAAAAATAAATTATGAAAAGAAATTTTCACTTAATCCCATGCTTATTCCTCTCAAAAGCCCTGCTGTACGTGTTTCTCCAGTTCAAGAATATTTCGGCCAAAATAAAAATTAAAACTAACTAAAAATATAATTTAATTTGAAACTTAATAATAACTTACGTATAATATATTTGAAAACTCCTTTTTTATTTATTAATTTTTTTAACACAAAGGGTTATTGCATAGAAGCAACCAACACTTTAGGTTTATCGCACAGAATAACAGCTACATAGGTATTTCACAATTTCTCGGAACTCCTATGGAAATGTGTGTTGTCTCTTTTCGACGTATACAAATTTTGCTTTCGGAAAAATCCTAGACACTGACAGTAATTTTACTGTTCATTTGACTGTCAGAGGTGACAGTACTAAAGCATTCAGCTATTTCATTCTTACACATGTAAGCAATATAATTCGAAGATGTCTCTGTTTAACAATAACAGTGACGGTCAGTTGATAAGTAAACTGACACGACTGACAAAAAAAAAAGTGAGTGTATTGGTGAATCCATCAGCAGTTTCTTGTAGGGTAAATAAGCATACCGTCAACGCACAGTGGTTTCGCTTGTATGGGAGCCGCGGCTATAAATACTTTTAGATGAGATAATCGCTTTGAAATTTTCACCAAAATCTATAAAATATATGATAAATATATTATAAAAAAAATTGGGCACATCGTACGGCTACATCCTATAGCTCCCATAGTAACAGTCAGTAACGGATCGATCTATTTTTTATTATTTTAAATGAAACTGGGCGTGGTTTAACTAATAATAATAATACAATATAAAAGTAAAATACGCACTTTTTAGAATATTCGCATTGATTGGTGGTACTCAAAAATGTTGTGATACAGAAAAATAAACCAACAAAATTTATAAATTATAATTAGAAAAGAAACAACAAATGTTACAAATAATTTTCATATTGTCTCATCTATAGTTGACTTTAACAGCGTTGATTTGTGGTTATAAGCTAGTTTTCGTTGGCCAGTAATAAAGGGATCAGAGCTTAAAAGCAAGGTGTTCATTAAATCTGATTTTCTAAATTTAAAGCGACGCGTAAAGTTATCCGTGTATGTTGTATTGTGAACTTTTTTATATCTATAATACTTGAATGAAAAAGATGGCGTTATTTTATTGGAAATTATACGCATATATGCAAATTTGGGCATCTACACTTAACTTTTTTATTACCTTACGACATAAGCAAATACACTGAAAAAGAAATAAATGTGGGAATCGGGTGAGAATGTAACTTAAACTTTATGAACATAATAAAAACGCACATAAAATGTATAAAATACAGGGTAAACTAAATTATGGATTTAAGAATAACTACGACACAAGTTAGTTTTTGTTAATTTTGTAACATTTAACTTCAAAGTCCATTAAATAGAATTTAAATTCGTTAACGGATTAAATGGCCTGACCACTTTAACTTCGCTTTTGTTGTGAAATGTTCACTCTGCGTGCACTTAAAAAATGAACAAGTGAACACAACTTTAATACTATTTTTAGAAAAAAAGGATTTGCCATTAAGATGGACTTTTCACATTTTTTTAACATGCATTTTGCACATTTGCTTATAGGCTAAACCACTGTGCAACGGCTGGTTTACTCTAAACTGTGATTTATATAAGTTGTCACACAAATTTGTAGTACAAAATAAATTATATATTTTCTAAAGCTTATATTGTAAATACCATAAAAATTTATATATTAAAATTCTCCAGTGTACCTATTTCTAGAAATCACCACAACGATGCAAATTAATAAATAAATCCAAATAAATTTGCTACGGTATGATGTCGTCGGATTTAAATTGCGCATCACTCAGGCATTGAGCTTGTAGCTGCTTTCGTATAGCGCCCACTTGCGTTAGGGTATGAGAATTCTGAGTAATTATACACTTCTGTACGGCTGGCACCTACAATATTATAAGTAATAAAAAATTTGTTGAACATCTATTACATTCCCATATCTCCATATTATCGTATATAATTAAAACAATATCGTTCTATCTAAAGTTGGTACACCACCTCCCACTTCTGCTTAAGACAATCTATTTTCCGTTTTCTTTGTGTTGTGCCCATTTCGGGGTAATTTAGAATTTGCTTTCTCGTTATTTTTGGCATTTCTCGAAGCAATGGCATCGACAAATTATGTTCTTCGTTCAGCATAACATCACGCCACTTCACGTTTGAATCGATTGTTTGTATGCCATAATCGCGAGATTCGCTTTTCCCACGCTCTTTGTCTATCCGCCACCGGGCGACATCACCATAGTTTTTCAAGTATCGAGACAGATGATTATCCGTTCCGTGGCGGACACTGTCAATGCACGAACTTTCGTCTTCATCTAAATAAACATACTTTACTTCAATACTATCAAAATGAGGAACTTGTGGCTTCTCATCCCCCAAATTATTTTTAATATGATGGCATGATGAATCGTCTTCTTCAGCAACGGTACCAACCAACGAACTGCTGTAATTATCTTCAGCAATATTTGGGGCAGTACTATTTAAATTAAGGATGTGAAATGAATGCACTCCTTGCTTTAAATCTGTTTCTTCAACCTGTAATAAAGAATAATTGAATAAATAATAACTAACTAAAGCGTTTAAGAATAGAAACAAATAAAAGCTCTTTCTTTTATTTTCAAACTAGAGGACTCCGTTCATGCGTTCCTCTGGCTAAAGTATACATTAATTATAAACTATTCAATACTGCAAAATTGTATTTATGAATAAAAACGAAAACGTTAGTTTCGGTGTAAGAGTAAAACCGCGGATCACTTCCAAATTTATATATAGTTTTTAACTATAAACATTTTCAAATTCAGTTTAATTCAGCTCCATTTGTATTCTACATTATGACAGTGTTATTAAAATACATGGCAAGAGGACCACTTCTCCATTAAATTTTCCAGTCAAAACGGTTGCTACAATAATATTTCCTGTAATCTTTTTGATTACCAAACGTGTAATATTACCTCTCCGAAGTGGAAGGTGAAATTCTTTGATCCAAGCACAATAGTAATAGCCTTTGGTGGTAACCGGATAAATACTGAATGCGCAGAAGGAAAGAGTAAGGACCTGATGAAGAGAGTGACTCAAGCTTGTGACGCCACTATGCCGCGTAAACGTGGCACTAATCAAAGACCTGCGGTGCACTGGTGGAACTAGCACATCAGCGATCTTCGCCAAGAGTGTCATAGAAAAAGAAGATTATCTCAACGTGGCTACCGACGACCTGACTCGGCAGATCTGATCGCAGAGTACAAAAAAGCTCGTCGATCCCTAAACAAAGCCATCAAAGATAGTAAGAAGAACTGCTGGAAAGAGCTCATTACTGAGGTAGAAAAGGACTTGTGAGAAAGACCTTATAAGGTAGTCATGACACACTTGAAATACTAGGCAATTCCGTCCCCGACGTGTCCTCAACTCTTACAGAAAATCGTGGCTGCACTGTTTCCCCGACAGCCCGTCTTCAACTACGTGTTAGCACAGAACGAACTGGATGATATTCCACCTGTCACGAGAGAAGAACTGATGGAAGCTTGTAACCGCGTCGACAATAATAAAGCGCCTGGATTGGACGAAATCCCTAACATCGCCTTAAAGACATCCATAAAAGCAGCGCCAGCGCTATTCCTTGACGTCTATAACTCCTGCCTGAAAGAAGGGACTTTTCCTCGAAAGTGGATATAGCAAAGACTGGTGCTACTCCCCAAAGAAAAAAAAACCCCAGAAGAACCGTCATCTTACCGTCCACTTTGCATGTTAGACACAGCGGATAAAATATTCGAACATTCATTCATCAAAGAATTGAAGCAGTCGGTCGGTCGAGCCGCTTCTAGCAGAAAACCAGTATGGTTTCCGAAAAGGACGATCAACCCTGGACGCAATCAATCTGGTTGTTAACACGGCCAAGGAGGCAATCGCAGAAATCAGGTGGAAGGGTGGTACAAAGCTGTATTGCCTGGTGGCCGCCTTAGACATCAGAAATGCCTTCAACTCCGCCAACGGGGACTGCATGATGCAAGCTCTCCGAGAAAAAAAATTCCAGAATATCTGTGTAAAATAGTGGCCAGCTACTTCATAGATAGAGTCCTAAAATACGACACGAAGAATGGTCCAAAGGAGTACGATATTATCGGAGGCGTACCCCAAAGATCAGTACTTGGTCCACTTCTATGGAATATCATGTACAATGGCCTACTCAGACTGAAACTGCCAAGAAGCGTCAAACTCGTAGCATATGCGGACGATGTAGCCGTAGGGATCAACGCGAAACACCTTGACGAGATTCGCCATATGTTTGGCATCACCTTCGAGCGAGTTAACCGATCGATGGATACAGTGAACCTCCAACTGGCTAAACAGAAGACCGAGGCTGTGCTTATTACTAGCAGAAAAGTGGTGGATACAATCATGCTAAAAGTCGGAGACCAAGAAATCACATCACAACCTTATATCCGATATCTGGGAGTGATGATTGATGTCCGACTCAATTTCAAGCAACAAGTATGACCAACAAAGCATCAGCAGTTATAGCTACTTTAGTACGACTGATGCCTACTGTTAGGTGTCCAAAGCAGAATAGGAGATTACTACTGTCATCAGTAGTCACATCAGTACTTACTCATGGAATATCCATCTGGGCAGACGCGCTGACCACCTAAGATTCATGGCGAAAAGTTGGACCAGTATATCAACTGAGTGCCTTAAGAGTAGCCAGCGCGTTCCGCACAATATTTGAGGGGGCAGTATCCGTTATTTCCGGAACTCTGCCACTTAGGGTTCTTGCTGAGGAAAGACAGAACCTTTACCATCGAAGAAGGTCAACCACACTGAGCACTGATGAACTCGGGACAAGAAAATCGCACGTTGGCAACTACAGTAGGAAGCCGCAGGGAAGGGTAAATGGACATACCTGCAGCAGCATATTTTGCGGAGCATATTTTCTTTGAATGCCCGCGATTCAATCACCAACGAGAGGAACTGTAAACGATTTTAAATGGAATAATCCAACCAGAGACAATAGTAGAAACAATGCTGTCATCAGAAACTGCCTGGAACGCCATCAGCAGATTTGCAACAGAAGTCCTCATAGACTTGCGGTCCATCGAAAAAAGAAGAGCAAAACAACTAGAAGAAGATACAACAACTAGAAGAAAGAAGAAATAACATGTTAACTATCGGAAGGAAGAGCAGTAGCTAAATCCTCTCCCCACGAAGTAATGCCAAGCGGCGGTTCCGGGGAGAATATTAGGCCGGAAGAAAGGGGAGATTTTAGTCGGTATTAACATTAGCAAGTCACCAGCCTAATGTTCAAGTCCGACATACCCAGAGCGAAACACCTAAGCCTGGCATACGCTAACACCTCTCACACTGGTTGGAAGAAGCCGCATGCGTGCGACGATCAAGAGCTGCCACCTACTAACCCAAGGTGTTATGCGACTCCCATGCCTATTGCAAGATTTGCAGCCAGGAGGTAAATTCGCCTGTAGTCTAACGGAGCCTTCCAAACATCGGGCCGCATTGGGAAGTAACTGTGGCGGATTCTTGTTTCCCTAAGCGGAACAAGGCAACAACAACAGCGAACGAACACGGACAATGATAAAAAAACAAGCAACGGTGCAGGTAAGGGTGAATCAGGGACTAAACGCAAGTTCAGCTTTCGCCAGAGGAGCGAGCGTTGTTCGAGGAGCACGCCAAGGACGACGATGATGACATGCCCTCGTGCAATGACGCTCAGCAGGCGAACTCTACCACGGCCGGTGCGAATAAAAGCGAACCCCACGGAGAGCAGGATCAGCTGCTCGGTTACAGAGGAGTCGCAACGGGCGTCCACCTGTGTGGCTCGCAAACGCAGAAGAAAGAGGGCAGGCAGACTACCCCCCTACCACCAACTGGGTGTCCTGGAGGACAGGATGATCCCAGGAGAAAAAGCATGAGCGGTGCCAGTCTGAAATGGTACCTAAGGCACATCCGAGACGCTGGCATATATCGCAGAACCATGGTGCACTGCAAAGGTGATCTTCATACCCAAAGTAGGAAGGAAAGACTACTCATTGGCGAAATCCTTCAGGTAAATCAGTTTTACTTCCTTCCTGCTTAAGAGTATGGAAAAGATCATAGACCACGAAATACGATCGAAGATGCTGAAGGCTTCACCGCTTCATGCGAAGCAGCATGCGTACAGAGCAGGCAGATCAACAAATACTGCACTGTATCAGCTAACCTTGGAGATCCAGAGTTCGTTAGATGGGGTTGAGGTGATGCTATGCGCCTTCCTTGACATCGAAGGTGCTTTTGACAATACATCTCACTAAAGCATGTCAAGAGCACTGGAGAAAGGGAGTGTGGCAGCACCAGTATGCTAACTAAAATTCATCTTGGCACAACAAAAGGTTGCCCACAGGGTGAAGTGCTATCCCCCCTACTTTGGAGCCTAGTTGTGGACGATCTCCTTGAGCAATGGAATCCGCTGTCAGGGATACATTGTTATCTTAGCTAGGGGTAAATTCGTAGACACACTCTGCGATATCGTACAGAGGGGACTGGGGCTGGCAAAAGGATGGTGTAGTGGGGTTGGCCTAAACATCAACCCCTCTAAAACTACAATCATTCCCTTCACTCGACAGAGGTCTCGGCCAGGCCTCAGAACTTTATCCCTTGACGGCAGAGTGTTAGAGATGCCCAGCACGGTCAAGTACCTGGGCCTTACCCTGAGCTAAGAAGTTTAAAGTTACCCTTGGCAGCAAGGCGGAATGGAATGATTCCTCGCTGGACCTGCTGCTAAGGGAAAGCACTATCAAGTGGTACGAAAACGGCGGAGGGGATCGGTGCAGGGGTCGCTGGGCCAAGCACCAAACTCTTCATTCCCATGGGAAGTTTTCTAAGCCGAGGTCTATGCTATAAGTCGGTGTGCTAGAACAGCTGAACAGCCTTTCAAACAACCACCGAGTGCACCTTATTTGGGTGCCAGGCCACAGGGTTATAGCCGGGAATGAACTGGCTGACGAGTTGGCCCGCTCTGCAGCCTCCACAAAAATGCTAGGACCAGAACCATGCGTAGCGGTTGGCCCACATACCATTAAAGAGATGCTCCTTAGGGAGGAAAGGCAGGCATGTTTGTATGGGAGTATAGAAAAGTGTTGGTTTTAGGCTTTTTCAGACATTTTTTTTTAATTTTTCTCTGCTTAAGAACCATTCTCGTACTTCAAGCAATATTCTAAAAATAAAGAATTAGCGAAATCGGTTCAGCTATTCTCGAGATTTGCGCTTAGCAACACATTCAGTGCATTTTTGTATTATAGATAGTATATTCGGTCATTCGATGCTATGGCTATGATATACCTACACATTAAATACTTCTACATATACAATAAACTATTTAATACAGTGAAAATATTATTTACAAATAAAGGCGATCACGTAATTGCCGGTATAAGAATCCAAGAAGTTTAATTTAGAAATTGATTCATACAAATAGTTGTCAAAGGAAAAAATAATAAATTTTTCTTTTTTTTTAAGAATAAACAATATATGCAAATTTTTTTTTTTAATTGTTTTAATTTTCAAAATTTGAGAGGACACAGTGTGCTTAATTTTACTAAAATCGGTTCAGGTGTTTAGGAGACAACTCGGGACAAAACGTGACCCGTAATTTGTATATATGTGCATATACAAATGTTTACAAAAGCCAAACAAATGCATTCTCACCTCTCTATTAGACCGCGTATCATTCGTATGTATTCGGTCTGTATTCTGGCCCGTTGCGATTTCATTCAGACAGATATTACATAAATTGCATCTACAACTCATGCAAACGTTAAGTTTACGATGACATGCTCGGCAAACAGCTTTTTTTGCAACGCAATTACGACAAAGTACGTATATGCGTTCACATTTATGACAAACTAATACAAAACTGTTTGTATATTTTTCCATGTCACTTTCATCAATCTGAAATTTTTCACTAGATCTACAATCCGCCTTGACTGTTTCATCTGTTAAACTGTCAGTACTTGAACTCGGTTTATCACAATAAATGACATTGTCTTTAACCTTTGGTTGAACTGCTCCGCATTTTATTTGATTTGTATAAACTCGTTCTTGGCAGTTTAGACAACACCTTTCATAGCTCCTTAACGGTCCATCACACTTCGAGCAAATTTTTTCGCTCAAGTGAAAACATTCTTTTTCAGCCATATTGTTATAATGACGGCTGTCTTGTCGTGCGGAATTACTAAAGTATTGATAAACTTTATTTTTGATTACATTCCCTCTCTCATAGCCTTTTCTATTTTTTAAATTAGCATTGCCAATGGCTGCTGGGATTTCTCCTTTCTCATGTTTTTTTTTGCTTAGCATATTAGCATCATTTTCTAACTTAGCAAGGAGTTGAGCTCTCATTAGCCGATTTTGTTCCGTATTCTTTTTAATCTTGTTGAGCATGGAATAAAAAGTAATACGAACTGATTGCAACTACCAAGTGCATCAATTAATAATTTGTATACCTTTTCAGTGAGAATGTTTTCCTTCGCTAATTTTGTCTCCAAATTAATTGCATTAAGTTGCTCTTGTAAACTCCTTTAAACAAAATAATATGCAATTATAAACAGTGTATGAATGTGATGTAAATATCAGTTAACAAAACACCTTGATCAACTTAATGTATTCATGAGGATGTCCGTTACTACCCAAATTGAAAATTGAAATTGATTTTTGCAGACTCACCTTATTTTTCAGTTTTTGATCTGTTTTTTATATCCCAAGCAAAAAAAACCTATGACTTTGAACAGATTTTCTAACACAAATTTTAGCGCTTTACAAAATACTTTTTTGTCATGAAAAAAATTGCTATAAAAGTTATACGCAGTTAAAGTTATGCGTCAAATGTATTGAGCTGCAAGTGCCTTTTAAAATCTGTGTAAGACACATTAAAAACTAAACTTGGGAAACAACGGGCACCCCAGTACACATAAGATGCAGGATTTTTAAAAAATTGATAAGAATTGAGAATTGATAAAATAATAAGAATATGAATACTTATATTTTTTATACTTTTTGTTTTGTAATTTGCATAGATTCCAAATTCTACAAATGCATCTTTAAAAGTGCTTGTTAAAAATACCGGAATTACTACATATAACCTTGTTAAAGCTTCATCCTCCATACGTTCCTTTTCTCGTAAAAGTTGAACGGTACGCCGTTTTTCTTCAATTTGTTCCATTAATTCTTGTTGATACTCCTTTTTCCGTTTTGTTTCAAGCTATAATTTTTTTTTTAAGTTTTAATGTTGTAGATTAAATAAATAAAAATATAATCAAATATGTTATTATTATTATTAATACTTCAAGAACAGAGAAGAAGAGTGGAGATATGCTTAAAATAAAGGAAAGTGGACTCATCTAAACAAAGACCCATATGGGGTTTTCATTAGAGAAGTTATCGTATTTCCAACTTGGAAATTTGGAATAGTACATTTTATATATAAAAAGTTTTAGAATATAGTTTCATAGTATATAAGGAAATGGACTGAGGGGTCATAATCCGATCGGATTGACGGACTATTTAATTACTACATACCTATATATCACTATTATTATGCTGTACTTTATTTCGATTATTGGTCTATTCAAAAGTAAGAATATTTCAGTAACTAAAAACACATACACACCTCTACATGTTCATTACGGTCGATGTAAATCTCTTCATTTGAAGATAACACTGTATGACTTAAATCCCGAAGCAATTTGTGACGAGTTGTATTAGGTCGTGAATTTATATATGCCGTAGGTTGATAGTTAGGATTCGTTACTATAATTTCTAAATCAGTCTTGTAGTTAGATAGTGTTGGAGTTTTCAAAGGCAAATTGGCAGCAGGTCCGGAACGAGTTTTATTCAAAGATGGGTCCAGGTGATTACTTGTAATGAAGACTGGCGTAACAACACGTGTTTGTTTCTGAGATGTTTGTAACATCTCCTTAATTTTTTTAAAAAAAGAAAGTACAATATACGTATATATAGATGTATCTTGAGATAAATACATTATATTTTTATGAAACTAGCAAGATCGGACCACGCGGTGCTGTGGCTATGATATACATAAATACTATTATAATAAACTATTCAATACAGTGAACTTATTTACGAATAAAGGCGAAAACGTTATTGCAAGAATAAAAATCCAAGGGATTATACTTAATAAGTTTAATTTTCGAAAATTATTCATACAAATATTTGTCAATTGAAAAAAATAATGAATGAGAAATATATATTTTTATCTATGAATTGTTTCACTTTTAATATAATTGAGATATTAACTATCCTACCATTTAAGTTGAATCAAACTGGTCACAGTGTGGTAAATTTTACTAAAACCGGTTCACTAGTTTAGGGGATAACCCCGGAGAAAACGTGATACGTAATTTTTATAGACATACACTGTGTTGGAAAAAATAATAGGGACAAAGGGAGATGTTTCAAATTTTTAATTATATGTATAAACGATATGCACTAAAAAAATTCAAATATTATCGTTCAATTAGATAATTAATTAAGATTTCAGTAGTTATTAAAGGTTTATTTGAGTTTACAAAGTGAAGACGGAAACATTTTGTATTTCAGCCTGGAAATAAAAAATAGGGACAAACATTAATTCATTTTTTGTTTTGTTATTTTATTTAATTATTACTTTTCTTCCATTCACATATATCTTGTTGATACACCTTTAGCTGACAAGGTTAGTGCAAGTCGTGGCCGGTATTGAATACCATGCTTCTTGGGTTTTTCTCCATAATTCGTGCTTATTTTTCCATTTTTGTCCACCAACTGTTTTCTTCAGCACTTCCAATAGATGTTCTATAGGATTGAGATCTGGCGACTGGGAGGGCCATTCCATAACGTTAACTTTATTACGCTGAAACCACGATTTTACCACTTTCGAACAATATTTCGGGTCGTTGTCATGCATAAACTCCCATTTTAGTGGCATGTGCTCCTCCGCATATAGCAACATTACAGTATTAAGGATGTTGAGAGAATCTGTTGAACACATTTCGTCTTGTATCCAATAAATCGCCCCAACTCCAGCCGCCAAAAAAATTCCAATAACATTATTGAGCGTGTATCTCTGGGGTCAAATTCCGCATTTCGAGGTCATCGGATCTAAATAAATTAACTTTTGTTTCATCCGACCACAGGTTATTCCAATATCCACGAAGCATGTGTCTCTGAGCAAATTTAATTCTCTTTTTTACATTTTGTTTGCTTAAAAACGGAACTTTTCTTGCACTTATTCCAATTAGTCCAGCTTCCCAAAATCAGCATTCCATTATGTCCGCTATTTCACAAATAGTTTTTGCCGATTTTCTTAATTTAATAATGGTTTTCTTTTCGTTCTTTATAAAAATATTTATTTGTTATGTAATATAGTTAATTTCAACAAAACAATAAATATGCTCTTAATTTCAGAAAGTTTCGTTGGAATCTTTACAATTTTTCTGTGCAAACTAGTAAATAACTAAATTTGTCTCTATCTTTTTTTCAAGCCCTTACGTAGCACATGCACCTAAAATCATAATAACTTTTTGTCGCAATGCAAAGACTATTACAGTATAACTGATGTCTAATTAAAGTACTGTTTGATTTGCTTTTAATGTCCCTATTATTTTTCCAATACTGTAAATACATATATACATACATATGTACATACATTAGAATGGCCCAAAACAAAACTTTTAAATTTTTTCTTTAGATACCGTGAAAATATCGTCCGAAATTACGAAAAAAAATGTTAGTAAATTTTGAGGCCTTCTTGGCGCAGTTTGATTTTCCATATAAACAACACAGGAACATTTTCATATATATATTTTAATGTTTAACGCATTTGAACAAATTATTATACAGTGAAAATGAAAATTTATAAACTTTTGTTTGGCCCACCCTAATATATACAGTGTGTTAAAAAAATAACGGCTCAAAGTGTAGGTATCGTGTTTTGAGAAAAATATTATAATTATAGAAAATACGTTGTTTTTTTAGCTGACGTTAATTCAATTCTTGCTCAAATCTCCCGCGTTGTCTGTTATAGCCTGATGACAACTTGCAAATAATTTTACGCATATTCCACAGGAAACGATCTCCAGGTATGTTGGAGTAGCCGAATGACATCTTTTGTTGACGTTAATTGTTTTCTTGATATTTGGCATTTAAGCCAACAATTCTCTATTGGATTAGCGTCTGGTGACTGTGATGACCCATCTAAAGTAACAATATGGTTTTCTTATTTCCATTTGAATACAGAGTCTGCTCTTATGTTTGGAATCATTGTCTTCTTGCAGTATGTTTGCATTTAAACATTTCAGCTAACCCTTTTTATACAATTTTATCATTCTAACGGCGTTCAGGTTTTCTGTAAAGCACCTCCAAACCCCAAATCCATAAGCAAAGAAACATTCATAAACATGCACCTTTTGAGGGTGCTTAAGACTCCTTTGAATAAATGTTTGTCCTTTTCTTAGCCAAATACGTCACAGTACTGCTGTAATGTCAGGTCTCTGAAGTCTGTCGTATTGTATTTAGAGACACATATATCTAATCCCTTTATAGCTTGATGACAACTTGCCCTTAGACTGAACAGTGGTTTCTTCTTAAACAAGAGAACAATCACTTTGTCCTCACTTTTAGATGTCACTCCCTCTTCCTGGCTTGTCATCTTCGTTTCTAGTTTTTATATAATGATCTGACCACCTCTTCACAAATGTACAACTTGTATTTAAATAGTTTGCAGTTCTTTTAGTAGTCTATTTGGGACCTTTAGGATGCTTCGTTAGAAATGCTGCTTCAAAAGTTTCTTGACACATTAAGAAAATCGAAAAAAACTGACCGAACTGTACGTGTGAATGGTCGCATTTGAACACGTGTTAATTTGCAAAAAAAAAAAAAAAATTAAAAACAGTTTTCCGTAAATTGATCGCGATAAGAAAAATAGTAATTTTTTGAACGAACTGTATAACATATACATATAAATTTGTTTGTTATAATACATTTTTTTATACTTAATTACTTGATGTTTTATAAAATTTTGTTGATTTTCGCGCTGCTGATTTCGCAAAGTTTCTTGTCGTTTCTGATACTCGTTCGTATATCCAGGAAAGTATGAGTAAAATGAATCGGAAACCCATTGATCCATTTCGTCCTATAAAATAAATGTATTATTTATTAGCTAAGTAAGTGCAAAGAACGCATAGAAAATACACAGTACTTAACCATTACTAGAAAACTAGAGTGCATGTTGTAAGTTGTCCTTTTTTTAAACGCAACAAATTCTTCATACCAATTTGTAAGAAACATACAGCGTTTTTAGTGAGGTAGATAACAAACGATTGTCATGGCATTATATATGTATATGGTATACATATGTATGTATTCCAAAAAAGGTTAGAGCTTTACAAGTCAATCGAGTATACGAAAAACAATGTTCTTTCAACTTCAAATTTTTCAATTTTTTTATGGTATATACACTGGCGGCAGAAATAATAGGAACAACGATTTTTCTTTGCTTATATTTGTAACGTACCAACATTTAGTCATATTAAATATCACGTTTTTGGATTAGTCCATGATATTTGATATTTCCTTGATACTTTACCTTTCTTTTATAGTTTTACCATAATTTTCCATTCAAAAAATTTTGCGGCTTATTTTTTACTTGTCATCTTATCATTTTCAAATTATAAACCCAAGATTTCTTTTAAATTATTTATCATTAATGTATATATAAAAATAACAAAACTTTGTTCACATGTTTTGATTCGAAATTTTACTTTTTGAAATTTACGGTGAGGTGTAAACTTAAACAAAATAGCATTTACGGCGTAAATTTTAAAAGTTCGAATGATCAATGTACAAAACCTTACTCCAAAAGGTTTGTAACGTGAGAGTTTTAATTTGAATCTCATTTTATTTGTTCATTGTTCTTCCTCCGCGCTCTCCCAAAAACTGTCATTCCGATGCTTTATACGAAATCATATGGGAAACAATTAATTTTTTCATTTGTTTTGATTCTCCTTCTTCATAATATGAAACGTGAAGATATTAAATTGTTTTTTTCAAAAATACGAATTCGTTGTTTCTAATTTTTGCGTGTTAGAAATACTGAAATAATGCCGAAAGCCAGCTGTACATTGTGTCGAAAATCGGTTAAAAAGTTTAATATAAATAAATAAATTTGAAATTTAATTCGAAAAAACCAATAAAATGCATTATCATGCATTTTCAAAATCTAATTTCTTAACAACGTGTATGTTGGATACATACATATGTATTTGAAATAATTCATTGCATACTTCAGATACCAAGGTATGGGTCTTTTACAACTGGTTTGATGCATTAGTATTTGGTGTACCCATATTTTGTATGTATTTTTGTATACATTGTAATTTATGTGTTTTGTTCGATAGGCAATGATTTTCACATTTTTATGAGCCAATAATAAACTCAAATATTTGTATATGAGCCGTCCGAGTAAAAAAGTCTGCTCTTTAAAAAAGGAAATCGCAGGAAAATAAGAGCAGAAGAAAGTTCGGTTTCATAAAATTTTTATTTTTAGGTGTGCAGTGATTTAATAAACTAAATTCTACTCTCATAACATGTTTGCATTACACTCCTTCAAAAGATATGGTATGTATGTAGATTTGATCAGTGGCTCACAAAATAGACGTTTGATACCTAAACAGCTATCTTACTATTGTATTTAACCTTTTTTGCGTTACTATGGTGTGGTTCTTACGAAACCTATCAAGATGATTCTTAAAAATTTGTATATACCTAGTAGTAGTTATTTACCAATACAAGATAGTCCAAGTAGGCAGTACATTAATTAATTTTCGTTTGCATATTTATTCCAGTGAATACATAAGTGATTGTTCATTCTACAGTAGTTGGCCTTAAATTAGTACTGTGTTTTAATTTAAAAATTTTTTAATTTGCTTAATTTTCATCTAATATGACCATTCTCATCAAATCTAAGTTTTTGAGCCATTGCATAGCTTCTATCCCGGGATTTGAGCGTGGGAACTGAATCCGTAACGGAAATAAACCTAACACGATCAAAGTATGCGCAAGATGTTTGCATACTTTAGGCGTATCTCAAGCGGAACAAATGAATTGAAGAGACAGCAGGGTGATTCAAATAATATTAATATTTGAGATAAACGTTTTTTAATGCCAAATAAAAATATGGAATTTAATAAAAATAAATTATTCAATATTTGGAGTCATAATATTAGTAACATTATTATTAATTTGGTAAGTAGCTACCCCACCTTTTGGAACAGTATCTCTTTTGACTAAAACAATACAATTGAAATAAGGTATTTCAATCGGATTATCAATGGTAAAAAATTTTCACTTATCTTGGCTGGCGATTTCAACATCATCTTCGCTGATAAAATATCAGAGCGGTTGATAACTTTTTTTTCGGAAAAATTGCACTTGAAAATGAATAACGATCCACAAGAATCCCCAACAAAATATGAGACCACCATTGACGCGGTATTTTCAAGATATTTACAGAATATCAGGTTTCAAACTTATGTTTCTTATTTCAGTTATCATTAACCTATAGTTTCAATGATTAAAGTTCCTGAATAACCTACATGTATTGTAAGATAATAAAAATATTTTTAACAATATTAACTTCTCATTTATTCAATAAAAGAAAAAAATGTGTTTTCTTATCGATCACCACGCTCAAAAAGTTTAACTTGAATTAATATCAAAGAAAAAACTTGAATTAATATCAATAAAAAAAAAGTCTGCATAAAAAATAAATAAATAATTATAATTAGATAAGTTGACAAAAAATACTTTGCAATAGCTTTTTCGCGGCAGTTCCCGAGTGTCACACGTACTTTTTTTTAACTAAAAAAGGAAATAGCTAAGGGCCAAGACGGACGGCAACACGAGGGGTAAGTCTCTTCACGAATTTATTATTAATAGCAAAAGTATAATATTAAAAAGGTGGGTTGTGAACCCACATTCGTCACTATTACACGAAAAGTGATTCTTGAGATCACTTTGGGTAACGTGCTTATGACTTAACTGATCTCACAATGGAGGGTGTCACTATAAAGCATTGCAGACTTCGATAGGACTTGAATTATCGAAACTGCAAAGGCTTGCCTGCATTTGCATCATGCTGAAACTCTCATAGTAATCAATCAAACAGCAAAAAAAACTATGCTACACAAGACAGCAGAAGAATATGGAAAAGGGAAGGTAATATTGTCTCAACAAATGAAGAACTTAGGTGAAGAGACATCACTGGCCCTTTCTCCCAAAAAAGAAGTTTAACGTTATTCTCGGCAGTAAGAGGGAATAGAGTAATTCCAAGTTTGACCTAATACTGACGGTGAGCACTATTCAGTGGTACACTCACGGCTCGAAAATATCGGAAGGCGTCACTGGACCACGTACCAAACTGTCACGAATCATAAAGGGGTAGCTAGGATCGAACTTACCCGATCTGCCCCTATTTGTAGGATGGGGAGACCGGAACCTAGCATCGCGGTGGGTTCCAATACCATAAAGTAGCTGCTCCACAAGGAGAATAGTGGGCAGAGAAAGATATTGGCATCAAAATATAGGGTGGTTAAAACCTCACAAGGTTCAAAAGTATTATAAATCTCCCCAGCGACGAATTGTGTCATTTTATACCCTTAAATTTGGTAAAAATGGGTTCGGTTTTTTGGTTATGCATACAATTTTTACCATTTATGATTTGAACAAAATGTCAGATTTGCCAAATGGCCATCATGGCTCCGTTTGCATATCTCCACCCGTTTACGTCAATTTTCGATGAATCGGTGCATCATTTCGGCTGGAATTTAGGCTATAGTGCGCTGAATATTATCTGAGATCCTCGAGCGTTGTTGGTTGATTGCCGTAAACTTTTGATTTAACATACCGTCAGAGAAAATAATTTACTTAAATTCTGAATCATGATCTTGGCGAGAAATTAACGAGTTGCCAAACTTTGCACGGAATGTGTTTATGTTTAGACATGAAACATAAGGCCGTCTTGTTGGAAATAGAGACAGTCCGCGTAGATTTAATCAAATTTCTGGAAAAAAGTCGGTCAACATCTATTGATGGTAACGGCATTTTTTGCCTCACTTCGAAACAAATTTTGGGGATGCAATCCACACGAGGATTTGACTTACCCCAATAGCGACAATTTTATTTTTTGACGAAACCATTAAGCCCTCCATCTGAAACGACCATGTTTTGCGCGAAGAGCTCTTACAATAGCTACCGGAGAACGTGAATTTGCGTAAAAATTTGGTAGACGAATAGTAATCACATCGCCTCAATAGCGCCCAGCAGGATTCTGAAATTTAACAGAGTGCTTGGCATTTGTGAGTCCGATAATTAATAAGCATCCACACAAAATTTAAAAATAAAATATTTTTTGTTATTTCCCAAGTTACTATAAAGGAGTCCTCTACTGCTGCAGTTATTGTGGTTTTCACAGTGGTTGCAAAAAAAATATTATTAATTTGTAGGGTATTGCCTACACAATGACCTCAGATGTGTCATAAATAATCAAGATTTCGCTAAGGTATTTTGTAAAGAGAAAATACGGATAGAAAGGAAACTGCAACTGAACTCAATAGCTACAGCGTCACTAAAGCAACCTTTCCTATTATAAAGTAAAAGTACCCTTTCTTTTTATGGTTTCAATAATCTGATATGCTCCACTCCACGCATACCACAATTTTCCAAAAATGTCGCATAAATTATATTATCTCTATTTAAATGAGATAAGCCTCCCCTACACATACACGCCACTCTACTCGGCAAGAACTGGCGCACCCTAGTATAACCCACTACAATACACCACACTCATACATCACCACACGGGACAACTCAACATACCACAGCATCGCGCCCTTCAGCAAACAAATAGGATGGTCTCCGCAGCAGATACACCACATTCGAAATAATTCCGATCTCTTTGCGCAACGTAAATGTATGAAATCGCTATCTCCGCTACCAACCGTCAAAACTTTCTGAGTTTAAAATCGTAGTATTAATTTTTATCAAAAAAGTGTTAAACCAATAAAAAACTTGTGAAACATTCAATAAAAAAAAATAAAGAATATTTCAATTTAAACCTTAAAAAGGCGTTTGTGA